GTCTCTATCATCTTAGAGAATATCTATGGCACCAGCAGTAGAATGTTGCTAGCAATGTAGATGTTAAATATAACTCTGCAGAGGCTTTAAAAGAAAACGATGAACATGTGGTTGGACAATGGAGGAAGGTGATGCTTTTTATGCAGTGGCAATGAACTTGTCTGAATTATACTCAAATGTCTGGTGGAAGGTAGAACTTGTAAGTGATGAGCTTGGATATCTGGCTTAAGAGATCTCTAAGCAAGAACTTAAAGGAGACCTGTGGTTTCCCATTGTTGCTTATAATAAAATGGGAGAGGAAAGAGATGGACTTAAAAATGAATTGTGCTGAATGAAAACAGAACTTAATGATTCGGAAAATTCTGTTGCACAAACCAAGGACATATGTCCTAGAATGTTCACTAAGGACATGGCTACAAAATCTTTTTGTTAAAGAGATTAAGCCTGTAACTAATGGACCTAACTACCACAGCAGAAAACTCATCAGCTTACACTGAAGGGGACCGAGAAAGAATAAAAGGAGAGAATATTGGCTGCCTCTTGGAATACTACAGGCAGGAAACAGGCCAAAAGGGCTACATCTGCTGGCCTCCGAGAGAAGAAAAGGACTATCCCTGGAAAAGCAGAGAGATAGGCAGAACTGTTGGAAGGAGCGTGGGAAGCAGGGTCTTCTTGGTTTCAAAGTGCAGGGCCACAGTCTCCAGGATTTCAAGGGGTGGGGCCACAGCCTCCTAGTTTTCAGAGAGTTAGATTTTCACCAACTTGGTTCCAGAGTGTGGGGCTGCCGTTTAAGTGTGAGAGGGGATGGGGCTCCATTTAAAGCTAAGGAGGTGGGGCTGCCATATCCAAGGGCAGGAGAACGGGGGCTGCCGGGGCTGAGAGGGTATGGCTGCCACTTAGATGAACTAGAGGGAATGGGGCAGCCCAAAACCGAGGGAGTAAAGTTGTCATCCCAGTAGGCCTGGAAGGTAGGCTTGAAGCCCAGGGCAAGCAGCTTCCACCTAGAATCTAGAGGGTATAGCTAACACTCAATCTGGAGGGCAAGTCCATTGCTCAGATGGTCTCAGAGAACAGAGGCTTGTTTTCAAGCTTCGAGAGCTATCATCTTTTGTTCTGCTGGGTTTTGGACTTGTGTGGTTCCTGTTGTCCCATCTTTCCCTCCACTTTCTCCCATCTGTCATGGGGATGTCTACCTTGTACCTGTTCCACCACTGTCCTCTGAAAACAGATCACTTTGTAGTTGAGATTTCACAGGCTCACAAATGAGGAGGGAACTGTGCTCCAGGATGGAATATGCCTATGGTCTCACTCATATTTGATTTAGAGGATTCAGAAGATGAGATTTTTGACTTGTAGTTGATTTAAGACTTTCGGGCTTGATATGATGGGGGTGAATGCATTTTACTCGAGACAACAACATGAATTTTGGGGGACCAAAAGGTGGAATGTCATAGATTGAACTGTGTCCCCCAAAAACGTATGTTGTAAATCCTAGCCTCCAAGCTTGTGGTTACAATCATTTGGGAATGGGCTGTTTTTGTTATGTTAATGAGATAGGATGAGTGTAGGGTGTATATGGGGTCAATTTCTTTTGAGATATAAAAGAGATTTAAACACTCAAGGTGGGAGAAGCAGAGATGGGGGAAAGCCAGATGCCAAGCCACATGAAGGTGGCCCAGGAGCAGAAGCTCAGAGAGACAAGGACCTTCCTCCAGAGCCGAGAGAGAGAAAAAGCCTTCCCCTAGGGCTGGCGCCCTGGATTCAAACTCCCAGCTTCCTGAACGGTGAGCTAGTAAACTCCTGTTTGTGGTAATTGTGTTACAGCGGCACCAGGGGACTAAGCCACACCCTTTGTAATGTTTCTGCTCCCCATTTCTCCCCATTTTCTTCAACTCCATTTTATTCTTCTTAAACAGAGAATGCAGATGTGCTTCTTAACCTATCACTATGCTAGGCTTCATCCACAAGGATGACGCTACTCAGCCATCAGCAACTGGGCAGCCCGAGGTGTTGCAATGGGGATGGACTCACCCTGACGCACCCTCTTACACGTGGACAAAGGGAACAACAACAGTGATAATGGTCATGATCGAAGCACCTACCATTAGCTGAGCAGTAACTACAGCAGGCACTGTTCCGTGCATTTACAGTCAAACCCCCATAAATCTGATAACATAAGTACTTTTGTTATTATCCCTATTTTACAGAAGAGGAAACTGAGGCGCAGAAAGGTTAAGTGGCAGAGGTGGGACTCAAGCCCAGGACAGCTGACTCCACAGCCCTTCTCTCCACACCTGGCTCTGCTGCCTCTTGGGCAGTCACCTGACGCCAAGTACCTGACACCAAGCCAGTACATTCTAATGGAGGGCATTACACTTATTCCTCACTTATCCACTATCTCACTTTGCGATATTTCACACTTACCATAGTAAAAAATGTGCTATCACCTATTTTGTGCATTAATGCGGCAGCAGGCATGGCAGCAATGGCTGTGGGTGTCCACTCCCTGCAGGGGGTCCCAGGGCTGCTTCCTGGAAGCGAGGCCACACTGCCCCCCACCCTCTGCTTCCTCCTCCTCTGTGGCCTCAGCTTCCAGGTTGATGCACAGGCAGCACCAAGCCAGTGGGGCCCCTGTTCTGGGTTCCCAGCTCCTATGGGGCCTGAGGTCCTGCAGCTCCAAACTGCTGTGGGGTGGGAAGGGAGGAAAGAAAGAGGCATCGGCGAGGGTGTCTGGAAGGAAGAGATGTGTGTGAACATAAAGATATCCCGAAGTGAGCCAGACAGGCCTGAAGCCTCTGGCCGCGTGGCCAGGCTTCCAGTGTCCATGCAGGAAGCCCCAGGCCTACATCACTTGCCAGGCCTGGAGGACAGAGCAGGCTGCAGGACGGTGAACACAGGGCTCGCAGGGATAGAAGTGGAGCTCTGACCCAGCACAGGAGGCAGGTGGAGTGGTTAAGCGCGGGCCCTCCACTCACACAGCCTGGTTTCATCACTGTGTCTCCTCCAGGCCTGCGTCTCCACAGAGGATGAATGCCTAACTGGACTCATCACAGTGATGAGCACATTAGTGAATCTTAGCTGTTGTTATTTATATGATTGTATTTTCTAAATTTCAGACAAAGGGATGTCTGAAATCAGGAAAAAAAAAAAATCATCCATTTTCATGTTGATAAGTGAGGTGTGGGTGTACTTGGGTCAGATTTTACTCCTTGGGGGAGGAAGGGAATGAAGGCTTATGGTGGTTTGTACCCAATGCACTGGCCCTACACTGACACCCTCACCTACTTCACTTCACCCCAGTAACCTGAAGGTGAGGTAGAGTTGGAACCTAAGTTGACCTGCCTCCACAGTGTACCCCTAGAGGGATCCGAAACCACAGACTGCAAGTCATATTGGAGGGATTGAAGCAAGACACAGCTGGGTCTGGGTCTTGTCTCAAGCAACTTACTCTGTCTCTCAGAGCCTCAATTACTGCCCATGAAAGGGGGAGGAATGGCTTCCACAGGTCAGCTTGAGCTGAGGACCTGCCCCATTGCAGGCGGTTCGTAACTGGTGTTGCTGTCACAACCACAGGTGAGCCAGCCAGAGGCGGCCTGGAAGCCCATGAAAGCTCAGCACTCAATCAATGGCTACTCCATTTCTCCACACACGTCACCTCAGTACGCTGCCTGCCAGGGCTTTTTGACATACGTCCATTTAACACGCACAAGGACCCGATGAGACAGGGTCCGGTGTTGTCCCATTTTAGACAGAGTGGGGGCGTGACTTGCCCACAGGCAGCGGTGGAGCTAGTTGGTCTAGATGGCTGTCTCTATGACTTCTGTCTGTCTTACACGGGCCCCAGTCTCTGCCCCTGCTCTGCCCCCTGCAGCCAGAGCATCCTGCCCTCAAAGATTCACTGAGCTCCCATCCAGACAGCTCCCTGTGCCGGGCAGGCAGCCCTCGACCCTTCCATGGCTACTTTGTCTTTGAGAAAGGAGATGAGAAATTCTGTGCACATGCATATTTCTAAGGTAGTAGGTAGCCAAAAAAAAAAAAAATCTATGTATGACAATCAGGTTCATTTCCATGATTTACAGAAAATCAAAGACAAAGGGGGACTTTTTTTGTCTTGTTTTTGCTATGACAGGTTTAGAAATTTGTTGTACTACACTGATTCAATTTTCCTTGATTTCAGCCATCTTTCAATAACACAACCTGCTTCTGCGAGCTGGGTACACAAGAGAAAACCCAAAGGAACTGAGAATATTGAAATGGTTCTACCATTTCCATCTTTGAGACAAATGTTCCTCTCGGAGGACAGCCGGCTGCAAGCATCTGACTGCTTAACAACCTCCTATACATAAAAAAAGACTCACACACTCTAATGCCGCCTTAAGAAAACAGGGAAAACCGACACATGTGACCTCCGGTTTGATGCCATTATCTCCACTCTCTTCTGAGCTATCCTATGTCCTGCAATCTTGGGTTTCTTTCTTTCTTTTTTTTTTTTTATTAGGAAAGCATCCAAACTATTTCAATCTAGGCTGCCAAATGGGACCTCGCTTAACAAGTACAACTGCATGTGTCCCGCCCTTCCTCTAAATCATTAGACTGCTCTGTGGACAGTCTCACAAAGCACCTACTGTTGGCAAATATCACAACAGAATGAAGAAGAAAAGCCGACCCCTGCCCAACCTCCTGCCCTCACCTTGTCTAAGGGGAAACATTTTTTTTTTTAAAGAATGAAGCTGAACTGATCGTTCTGTCACTTAAAACCATGTGACTTAGAGAAGACAAGGAGACGACTGCCACATCTGATCAAAGTAATAATACATTAAAACAGAGTTGCTTTTTCTGAGAATTGAGTTCTAGTGGAATGGAAGTGTTTTCTCAGAATGGCACCCCTGCAACCAGGTCCTTCCTGCTTCCGGAATGATCCCTCATGGGGGATGAGAGACCCTGGGGTGAACGAGGGGTAGCCCGGCCCTACCTGCCCCCGCTCTGGGCAGCTTACTTACCTCTTTTTCAATTTCTGCCAGAGATTTGATGGTGATTCCCAAGAGATCAAAGGGCTGCATCTGCAAATACAGAACAAGTCAACCTCTTCAAGGCTGGGAAACGCTCCTTCACATTCGTTTCTATGCAGAAAAATGGTGAAATTGCACACTGCACCGTGTGACCCAGCACATTCTCCAGCCCTTTCCCACAGAAGACGCAAGAACTACATAAACACGGCCGTGTGACTGTGTAACCGTTCTGCTGGTGTTACTCGCCGTGGAGTCGACTCTGATGCCTGGGAGCCCGTGTGTGGGGAGCAGAACTGAGCCCCACAGGGTCTTCAAGGCTGTGACCTTCTGGAAGCAGATGGCCAAGCCTGTCTTCTGAGGGGCCTCTGAGTGGGTTCAAACTGCCAACCTTTCAGCTAGATGTGGAGCGCTTAACCATGTGCGCCACTGAGGAACTCCTCCATAATCATTAGTGAGAGCAAACAGAGGAGTGGTTAGAACAGAGAATATACTTCAAGAAAATGTGACTGTCAACTTGGGTCAGGTCCTTCTGGTGTGAGGCCACTGCTTGGTCCTCTGATTACAACACCCAGCAGGGTCAGTGCCAGTGAAAAAGCTGGCAAGGTTTGCCCTCTCCTTCTGCGGCTGTAGGGATGAAGGTGCCCCGAGGCTGTCCTGACAGTGGGTCTAAGAAATTCCAGCTGGCAGCGAGTCTCCTGCCCAGGACTCCTTGGCATCCAGGGAAGCTGCTGGGGGAATTCCCAGACTTTGAACATGTAAACCAAACAGGTAAATAAAATAACTGCCTGTAAATGATCAATGCAGAACTCAATGGTGGTGAAAAAATGGCAACACTGCATTTTAATGGGTGTCTCCATTACTTCATGAAGATGGGCCCTTTCTCATGAAAATGCCGGCTTTCCAACAGACATTGTGAATGCTGTATTTTTACACCAATAGTGCTATACAGTGTTTTGCAAACTGCACAATGCCCTCTTGTTAGTTTCCTATTCCTGCTATGTGTGTTTCATGTGAAAAATACAGTAATCAAACTCGCACAGCAGTGAGCACTAGCATCCCCTGAAGCGAGAGAGCAGAGGGGATCCTGCCTGTGAGGCCACTGGTCTGAGTTCCCTGTGGGCCCTCGACCCAACCTCCTGTAGTCTGTGCGGCAGCTGGCAGCCTAGGCTGAAACCCAAGAGTGTTTGACAAAACCCCAGGCAGGGCCTTCGTGGTTCTGAACTGTAGCCCACAGGCAGAGCAGGGCTGGAGAGTATGGCCCCGAGTGAACTCAACCAGTGAGTATTTCCAGGGACTGATTCTGGATTCCAAAGGACGAGGATTTAAGATCAGGCTCAGCGGCTCCTAGGGCTCAGATTAAGGTTAAACCAGGCTCAGGTTAAATCACTCCGTTATTTCCTCGCCTGCTAGCAAGCCGTGTGGGCGATCCCTCCTTGCAGGGCTGTTGGGAGGATTAACTGAGAGAATGAACAGGGAGCGCTGGGCCCTGGGCTGGCCTGGAGTTGGCAGCGCCGTGAGCACTTGCTGAGTCGGCAGCATCCGGGCAGCCGTGCATTCACGAGGGCAATCTTGGGACAGGGCCACGAATTAGACACCAGCTCCTGGAGCTGCTCTGCCAGGAGCCACAAAACAGTTTGGCTCTCTCTGAGCTGCCAGCCCGAGAGGCAGGAGAACAGAGGCCGCCCGCCCGTTCAGCCGCACTGCCTGGGATCCAGCAGAGGCCCAGCTGTTGTATCATTAGGCTCTAACTACCCCACTAAACTTTCCCGATTGGAACCAGTAAGCAGGACAGAACAGCCTCTCCAAGGGAACGGGTGGGAGAGGCGCCAGCGTCTCCATGGCAACGTGGCCTAGTGAAGCCGGCTGAAGTTACTCACGCTCTGCATGTCGCGTCACAAGCATTTTTCAAGATTAAGCTGCTTACCAGAAGGGTTCAGAGGAGGCCTATTATATTTCATGAAAATGGAAACTACAGAGCAGGTCAAATCGCAAGCCGGGTGGTTTTTAAGCTGTGTCCAAGAAAAACACTGAAGGATTCTTTAGCTGGTGCCCAAACTGGGGCCTTCACGTTTATTAGCTACTCAAAGCAAACTTCTGCAGGCAGGATAAAAACCAGGAGGAACGAGTTTATTGAGGCGGCGTGGACCAGGACTTCATAGCTGAGAGAGGGCCACTGCCATCCTGGGCAGCACCATGTGAGAGGAGACCTCAGGTGGGCTAGGAGGGGCCTGCAGCCTGCCACACACATCCCTCAGCACTGTGTGTGGTGGGCACGCTCCATGGCCCGGTCTAGCCTCCAACCCAGCCAGCTCCTCAGCTCCTCTGTCACTAGAGATGGCTCGGGGGTTCACTCCTCTGGGTGGAGTTAATGCTGGCCTGGGGTGAGCACCCAGCTCTAAGGGGAGGCCACTAGCTACGAGGCACTCTGTGCTCACAGGGCCACCACCACCACGAGGAGGCCTCCGTGTCAGAGCAGAGCATGCAGGTACCAGCAATGCAGCAACAACAACGGGAAATGAGGCAGCCTCTTTTCTGCAGTATATTGTTATAGTTAAGTGAAAAAGAACAAAACTCACTAAGCTGGACCTGGAAAATGAGGACATTATAAAGCCACGGGGATCAGTCAAATTACCATCACATCTGAAATGAAGAAGCTCGCTGCATTGGAGTGTGTCTGTTAGTCTGTCTTGCTCGTCTCCCATCCCTCATGTATTCTTTCTTTCACTTCTCAAGAGTGAAGGCACTAGCTGAAGGGGCAACAGAGATGACAGCACCCACTGCCTGCTCTCAGGAGCCACGGTCTTTGGACTGCAGGGTTGAGCTTCCATGAGAGAGGGAACTCAGGTGGGGCCACCAGAAGGGCCTGGCATGCTTTGGAACTCAAGAGGGAAGAGCTTCAGGCTGCAGTGGTGGTGGGGAAGGGCAGTCATGCTTAAAACTTACACTTTCTGGAACACAAGAAAACTTCTCTGAAATCATAAAAGGCACACCATCCATTGCTGCAAAAGAGGAAAAAAAAGAGAGACAGAGAGAGCATTGAAGACATCATTGATGTTCAGTAATTTAAGACGTCAACACAGATAGTACAGGTGAGCCAGTGGCTGGGGGAGAGCAGGTGCCACCTCTGCTTCCAGGGGTACACAGCCTAATGAGTGGGTACACTGGAGCCCCTCTCCCCCTGCATGTCCTTGAACACCAGGCAGGCATGCAGACAAGAGCTTTGGGAGCAGAGAGAGCCTAGAACCCTTGCAGAGGAGTCTAGATTCAGATCTGTGAGAAGCAGGAGTAGGGGCTGAGGCAGGAACAGGGTGCAGGCAAGCTGAGTGGGGAGAAAGCCACACTCCGTGACAATGGAGGCAGAAGTGTGTTCACTAGGTAGTCACTAAGCTAAGACTAGAGGAGGCAGTGGTGGTTCAGTGGTAGAATTCCTGCCTTCTGTGCAGGTGACTCCGGTTCGAATCCTGGCCAGCGCAGCTCATGGGCGGCCACCACCACCTGTCAGCGAAAGCTTGTGTGCTGCTCTGATGTTGTATGGGTTGCAGTGAGCTTCCAGACTAAGACAGACGAGCAAGAAAGGCCTGGTGGCCTGCTTCCAAAATCAGCCAATGAAAACCCTAGGATCACAACTATCCACAAGTGATCATGGGTACGGCGCAGGCCTGGGCTTGGGGTCGCTGTTAGGGGCACGCTTGGCGGCAGGAACAACAAAGCTAAAACTAACCATACTGGGTCCACAGGGAAATTCGACTGACTGGGTTTGAATCCCAGCAGTGACTTCAGACAAGATTTTCATCAGTTAAAACAAGGATGGCATCACCCATGGTAAGGGCTGCTGTGTGCATTGGAAGTGTGTGTGTGTATGTGTGTGTGAAGCAAAGTGGGGGCTGCAGGGGCACCATCATTAATGATGCCGCTTCAAGGGCTGACTTGAGGCTCATCATCCTGTTTGGTCTTAACAAGAAACATGGGAGAAAGGGCACGGAATGGCTACAGATGAAACCACAGGAAGATCCAAGGGGCCACTGGTGCAGCCGGGCCATGAAGGAAAGTGGGACAGGACCACCTTTCCTCTTCTACAACCCCTTCCCACCCCCAAATGTGCCCCCAGGTCATCGTCAACGACACACGAAGGAAAAGACGGCCAGAGCATGACTCCACAAGCACTCTTTCCCTGGATAAGTAAAGTGAGAGCAGGGTCTGACACCACACTTGGTGCTGGAATCCTGGCTTGTTGGAGGGGGGCGTCATATTTGACAAAACAGGAGCACAGTACTGGCTGCTGGGATGGGTGAACACACCTTCTGGTGCTTGGCTTCTCCTTTAGGTGTGAGTAACGTCAGAAATGAGGGAAGGCCAAACTCAGCCATGCTGGTCCCTGTCACTTGTGCCAGGAACTCACAGCCCAGCAGTCAGTGTTGGGAAGCTTACCCTGAGGATGATAAAACCAAAAAAACCAAACCAATTGCCGCCAAGTCGATGCTGACTCATGGTGACCTCACGTGTGTTGGTGTGGAACTGTGCTCCACAGGGTTTCCAACGGCTGATTTTTCAGAAGTGGATCACCAGCCCTTTCTTCTGAGGTGCCTCTGGGTGGACTAGAACCTGCAACCCTGCAGTTAGTAGCTGAGCACTTAACCGTTCACATCACCCACGGACTCCCAAGGGTGATGGTTTTCTGCTAAACTGTGGTTTTTGGAAGACACAGAGTGAGCGAAATAGAAACCTTGGCAAGTGAGTTCACTGGGAAATGACATTCCTTGCTTCCTCCAGTATCTTCTAAAATTGAGATTTCTCTGATATACAGTTGGTGGCCAACATTTCTAATCCAAAGAAAGGAAAATAGCAGAAAGAAAAGCAGAGGAAAAGGAAAAAAAAAAAAAAAAAAACCTGGGACAAATCTTCCCTGATCCACAAGATGAGCCAAATGGCTCATTTTAAGCTACACTCATCATTTACTTCAGGAAAACGCCCCGTAAGCTGGAAGCAAAAGAAATGGCCCAGCTGGCCCCAGCTGCTGCACTGGAAGCTTCTCCTCCTTCTAAGGTCACTGCCCCAAGCTGACCGCCTGGCTTTGATGGAGACCTCTGCGGTCAGAGGCCTTCTCCCATCCCAGGTGTCCCCTGCAACTGCTGTGAACTGCCCAGAAGACAACAGGGTAAAGGCTGAGAACAGTGGACAATTTCCCCAGAAAGGAGGAAGGAAGCTGCAAATGATCTTGTACAGCACACACTCAAACATACTAGTGAAATGTCTGAGCACCCAGGCTGGTATACCAATTTACAGCTGAAAGAGAATCATCAGTGAACGGAAGACCCTGGAAGGCCACAAGACAAGGAGAACCAATTCCTGCCCAAGGTGCAGCAAGAGGCCATGCATGCCTCAGCTCCTGCCAACACAGGTCTGCTAACACAGGCTGCGTGCCGACGCCCACCCTCATGCACTCTGATCTCCTGATCCCTTCTGGTGCCCATGAGACAGGAGGGGCCGAGCACTCACATCACTTCTGATCATTTTACGGACCAGGCAGCAGAGGCTCAGAGACGGACTGGAGTTTGCTGAGGTCAAATGGACAGGAAGCAGACTCTAAAACCCTTGGCTCTTCCGTGAGGTATAGCTGGAGCTTCTTAGAACACATCTTCTTCTACATCATGGCCCTTCGCGGTTTTGATGACCATTATATGACCTCCCTAAGTCTCTGAGGTGGCCCTTTTATGAGCTCTTTCTGATGAGACATATGTCAATGTGTGAATAGTCCCAGATTCACCTCCTCTCCAATCCTGTTGTTTGCTTGGACTTCCCACTTAACGTGAATGCACCACCCTCCTCTTGGCAATCCTAGGTCAAGCGCCAGATGGCACAGCCCACTTTACATATCCTTTGAATTCCCAAAGCTCAGTATGCTCACTTCCACTATGGCCCTTGTCACTTTCTGCTCTCTGTACATACGTTTATACCTACGCTCACAGGTTCTCTCTGCCTGGGTCACAGGCCTCTTTGCACCCCCAGGACACTTGAGTGGTAATTTTCAATAAGCACATCTTCAGCACACATCCCCAAGCTGGGAACCCATCCATCATTCACTAGGCTTTTTGTCTTCGATATTTTAAAGACCTTATTAGTGTTTTGGGTTTCTGATAAGCTGTGGTGCATAACTCCCTCTCACTGGTGACAGTTACTTCTATCTAAATGTCAATGTGTATTTAGAAACTTGTGTTTTAAGAAGGTCTGCAAAGACCGAATTATACTGGGTAGGCTTAGAGGTAATTTCTTCAAGGAAAACTTCTAGAGGAGGCTGAAGGTGAGCGGACCAAAAGGGAAATCATTACGGGAAAAAGGCAGCTCCTGTGGAGAGAATAAAGGGAAGTCACATTCCCAAGACTATCTGAGAAGCAAGAGCTAGCAGGGACGGTAGATGTCTGGAGTCAGTCCAGTGGCCCAGCACTCCTCACTGGACTTACCAGCAGAGGAAGGAGGAGGAGAACCTGTGCATGCCTAACCTGACCACATGAAGGTGGTGTCTGGTGAAGTGACGGGACCCTTATCTTAGAGTTCATGATAGGAAGATGGGCCCAACTAGATGTTCCTCTTATCCTTCTAGAAAACAGACTTTAACAAATACAGAGGAAAAGAAATACAAGGTGATAGGATCCTATGGGCTGAAGCTTAGGGATACAGAATGTTCTCATCATGAACGTACTTTAACACATCAAACTCTCACTGCTGTCGAGTCAGATCCGACTCATAGCGACCCCTCCTTGGGTTTCCGAGGCAGTATCACTACGGAAGTGATTGCCCAACCTTCCTTCTGAGGAATGGCTGGTGGGTTTGAACTGCCAGCCTTCTGGTTAGCAGTCAGATGCCTTAGGTGCTATACCACCAGAGCTCCTTTACACATGGAGTCCCTTAAAACGGGAGCAGGAATCATCAGAAGTCAGTAAGAGTTTGCTACATAGTTAGTCTTCTGACCAAATTTTGTTTACCTAAAAAATCTGGTATAACAATGATTATAGCAGGTGGAAGGCATCTGATAGGATTTCTCATGTTATCCATGTGGACATGAGGGCTCTATACGGCTGAATAATGTTAAGATTAGAATTCATAAGTGGCTGGACTTGATGCTCAGGAAACTGATTAAGAGATTAATGTTGACCTGGAAAGACCTCTCTAGAGGTGCCCAGCACTACTAATAACTTATATGAAGACCTGAACAGCATGCTTATCTAGTAACTGGCTGATGGAGAGCCTGGAGGACAGTCTACAAACCGAGTGAAGAGTGGAATCCAATAAAAATCTCAAAAACTTGGGATGATGGAATTTACTAGAGGTCAACGTAAAGTCTTGTAACTTTAGGTCCAAAACACACACTATATTAGATGGAATGAAAGATACATGGGCTAACAGCAGAAGATATGAAAAAAGACTTGGAGGTTGCAGCTGAATAAGCAAATTCTGTGATTTGAACTTTTTTAAAAAGGGGGAGGTGCCATGGTACACTAGCACAGTTTCAGTGCCCAGGATAAGGGAGTCAGCCATCTTGGTGTGCTCTGAGCCAGAGTGTGGTGGTATTCAGTGCCACGGGTACATTCTCAGAGGGTCATCGTGGGTAGGCTAAAGGGAATCCCTACAAGAAGCCCTGGAATGGTGAGGGAACCTTCCTGGAGAAGAACACACAAGGAAAAGAAGAGGCCATCAGGCTTGATACTCCAGGAAGGCATCATCCTGTCTGATTTTGTTCCTCATCACCCTTCATGCTGCACCCCCAGAGCCCAGCATTGTGCCCAACATGTGGTAAGTGCAGCAAGAGAGAGGGCTTGGTCCAGACAAGAGCTGAAGGGGAACCCAATTAAACGTCAAATCAAATAATCAAGTGTTTCCAGAGCTGTCATAGCAAGAGCGGTTAGATAGAGCATGCATGGGGAGACTGTCCCCTGCTTTGGGGACAATGCAACAGGCCAACCCCGCTCTAGTGTGAAGGAGAAAACAGAACTGGAAGCAAGGGTCCAGACCAATGGCTACTTGTTGGGGAAGTGATGCAGGGATTTTGTGTGCTGGGTGGAAAGCTGATCTGTGAGACTACATCTTCTGTAATTCCATTACATCCATTTCTACTCTACTTATCTGGGAAGCTTTCCATATTTTAAAATGTCTAGAGCTTCACCAAACATAATCCTTGATATCAATGGCACCCATTTTTCATATGTTCCATAAGAGTGTTCATAAATCATCTCCATTCTGGCTTTTCGTGGGGTGGCCATGTTTCCTTCTTTCCCCTGCCCCTTTTTTTCCCCCTGATGCCTGTATTTTGTCTTCACTACTATTTTAAAGCAGAGAGACTGTGATAGTCTTTCCATTTTTCAGTCCATTACTGAGTCCCACAGGGTGACACATTGTTTGAAGAGCTGGAGACAGAGCAGCGACTGAGAAGCCCCAGTACCCGCGGAGCCACTGTTCAGCATGGCCATTTTTACTCTCC